AACAGTCCAACAAACCAACAGCAGTTTCAATTATTAATTTTGTCAATCACTTTAATGCTACAGAAAAACGGTTAGCATCTCCCGTAACTCTGCCTAAGAGCAGAGAAATGCTTTATGAATTAAGTTCTTATGCACAACTTGCTCAATGTGTTGAATTTTTAAGGCCACAATTAAGAACAAGTTGTTTGATAGTTTGATGAGAGCATAAAATGTGCTTTGAAAATAATAACGTTTTGTGGAACTATGAACTTGGATAATAACTTCTCAGGCTAAATTTCCCTCTGCTGTCTCTTCGAGTATTACGTAGAATACATAAAAATATTATACGACAAATATGATAACACATAAGAACTGTTATCCGCAATTACTACCTCATTCAAATTCAGCAAAATATTGTAGTAAACGAGCATAGCTGGATTAATTCTACGACTTTATGATAACCGTGAGTACGTGTGTACAATATATTTAAATCAATGGTTAAATTTAAAACTGTAACCCAATACATACAACACAAAAATAATATAAGTATTTATTAAATACCTATAGTAAAAATGTTGATAGATTATTTTACCTATTGTTGTACATATATGGTACTGACATTAACGACAAATAACATTTCAATCATCCGACTATTATGATTATTATTGGCTTGATAAAAACTGACATATATATCACAAACATGTTGGTTTTTATTTAGTTTTTTTGTACCTTTAATATTATTTTGTTTAACTGGATAGAACAATGTTAAATACATTTACTTTTATGCACTTGAAAACTAAAAAACGTCCCTTATGCCAACAGCCAAATAGACTTTTAACGGCCAAATTATGTATTTAAAGTTCATGGATATTTATTACTTACAAATGTATTTACTTTTGAATTTTTTTATTTTTTCAGATACTAACACCAATGGATTGATACAACAACAACAAGCTTACTACTCAAAATTGTTAAAATAGTTTTCATAAATATACTTGAGTTTTAGATTCGCAAGATACATTTGATAACATGAGGTGAATGTTTTATTTTTAAATAAAATATATTAAACACTACATATTTTTTATTGTTAATTACATTTTGTATTTACAGATCGATGTTTTTTTAACAAAAGACAAGCTCTGCTCAGAATAACTACTTGATACAGTCGAGAGATATGAGTACGACAAGCCTGACCGAGATGTTGGTTAATTTTTATTTTTTTGTTAGTTATTTAGATTGAAATGACTAAAATTTTGTAATATATACATAACATAATAATATCAATGGCATAGTGCACAAGTGTGATAAATGATTGTTTTTTTAAATTAATTTTATCCGGGAAAAAAATGCACTCATCACACCTGTGCACTACTATTGAAGTGTATTTTATACTTGGTATGATTTAAATTAATAATAACAATAACTTTAAATTAAAACTTATGAAAACTACAAATTATATACTTGCATTGATTTCACAATTAAAAAATTTAATAGGTAATTCAATATAATCACACGATAAATATTTTAACAGCTTAATAATACAATTCTAGCAAAAAAATAAAAAATTGAAATACCTAATAAAATAAAATAATTGTTTAAATCCAAAGCATAAAGCGCACGAATGTCTTAATTATATTGGATTAACTTAACGCAAGCTAAAGATAACCAATAGTTTTTTGTTTTTGCATAAACATTAAGTTTTTTACATCATAATAATTATATTTTTTTTCTATGAATATTGAATAAATAATAAACTTAATTTATTTGGTATGAATTTTACTATTAATTAGATAGTATTAATTTAATTAAAAAATAAATAAACTTGAAGGCTAAATTTACTATGTGTTTAATTCAATATGAAACTTAACAATATACTTAATAAATGTAAAAATACGTTTTCAACTATTTTTAAGGAACTTTTTTTTATTAATAAAAGAGTTTCTTTAGTTTCACTTTAGTTATTATTCATTTACAAACTGTAGGTATAAATTGTATTATACTTTTATTTTGTTGCAATTTCATCTAATTTTTTTTTTCTTTATCCAGATAATCAAAGACATGAATGTCAAAGGAAAGAACGACAATCAGATGTATTATCGAACTGTATGAACGCAACTTTACTTGAACTCGAGTGCCAGCAAAGAGTTGCTTAAAACTATTGTCAATTCAATTTGACGCATCGTCATACCGACTTTTTTTTATAACTACATGTAAAATGAATTTCTTTCTCTTAGATTTCTTGATATATTTGTATGAAAAATTATGTTTGTTCATGAATCAGAGTAATATTATTATTATGTATACTGTACACAAGTTAAAAACTGCATAATTACTTTATAATTGAAAAAATAACCCACCTAATTAATAATTAGTAAATAAAACATTTAATCGTCTACTAAAAAAAAACATTGAATTTTTTTTGTTTTTAATTTTTAAGTAGACAATTTTATGCTTATTATGATTATAATTTAAACCTAGTATATATTTTGTGTGGAAAATTTAATATTTAATTATACCGTATACGTATTGTTTTTTACCATTACAATATTATTACATGTGAATTTCTCAATCCAAATTGTTGTTTTCTTTATCTTTACTAAATATAAAAAGTATCAGTTATAAAAAAAATAGTTAAAACAAAACAAATGTTCAATTATAGTTCATATTAATTTAAAATTGGTAGATATTTTGTCCGACCGATGGGACAGTATAAAGGTTTTGTTTACTCGGACTCGTATTATATATGTTGCTATCACTAATAGTGCTATAAGCTTTTGGGGAAAATGATATATCTGTATAATATTATTATGCCTATAAATGTTCATAATAATTTTTAAAAAAAATGGGTATAAGTTATAAAAATAAAAGTTTTAGCAACATATGACATATGCATGTATATTATGTATGTTATCTTTTCAGTTTTACACTAGAACACAATTATTTAACAACTAGTTTTAGTTTCTACCGTTATTGATAAAATCCTACTACTTTATATAATATGTAAAAATAATGTAAAATCTTTAAATTCCACTTCCTCTATAGAAAGACCAAAATTCTATTCACCAAGTCTATGCAATTTTTTTTTTTTTTGTTGCTATTTTATTTAGACGATCAACAACTTTATACAAATATATTTTAATTCTATGAAAAACCAATATTTTCAAAAAATTATTATTTTACTGTTTTTGTGACCGTTACGATGGTGTTAAACAAAATATATTAAGTCATAATAGAAATTTACAAAGAACTTATATACATTTTAACTGCCAATGGTTATGTACAGAATAATAACCAAATACATAAATAAATATATTTTTTTTTAACAGTTAAATAATAATTATTCATAATTTTATAGGCCATAATTCACGGTTTGTTGTTGATCGAAAACTTGTGTTCTGTCTCTTTAATATTAGGCTGCTGCTACTTGATGGCAAAAGTTTTAAAAATAAACCATAGCCATTATTTTAAATTTGGTTACTATAGCAAACAGAATTTAAATGATTGTAGATTTTAACTTGTCCAAAATACTAGAGGTTTTTGTATTTTCCATAATAATTTTGATTTTGAATTTAAAAATACTATTAGATAAAAACTTTGGAATTTGACTATCTCAAAATACAATAGAGGATTTTGACGATTGCAAAATAAGTTTTGATTTTGAATTATCCAAAATACAAAAAAAATAGTAATATTGAATTTTTATGATAATTTCGGTTTTACCGGAAAATTTTTAATAATTCAAAAATAGTTTTGGATTTTGAGTTTTTTAAAATACTAGAGGTTTGAGTTTTTTTGAATTTGCATTATTAATTTTTATTTTGAGTTTTCCAAAACGCTGTAAGATAAATTTTAACGGCCAAAATAATTTTGAAATTTGAATTTCCCAAAAAACCTAATGTAGGATTTTGACTTTTGCAAAATAATTTTGGATTTTGAATTTTCCCAAATTTTGAAAATAAATATTATATCACTGCAAGCATAACAGTAGTGCTATCTAACGGATGTACAGTAAAGTAGTAGAGAAGGCGGCTATACACAAATGCGCGGACCGCATTGCCTGCGGCTGCCGGTAGATACCGCTGACGCTGAATTTTTTTTGAGTTTGTGGAATTTTGGCAGGTTTTTTTCAAAAATTCGATCCAAAATCTTTACGAAATCTTTTTGAAACATATTATTTAAATTGTAATTGACATTTACAAGAAATTAGAGCAACTTTTAGCACGTTTTCGTGCATATTTCGAGCGTTTTTGACAATTTTTTCGAGTTTTCCAAAATTATCGTTCTGCGTTTTGTTTGTGCGTTTGTTTTTTGATAAATAGAATGTAGTTTGTCTTCGAAAGTATCGCTTCTCGGCCTATCGGCTAAGATCAAAGTGTAGTATCTGTTCTTATCAGCTTAACGCCACGCTAAGCGCGAGCGTTGAGTCTGATTTTTGTTTTTGAACAGGCGGCGCAATAGCCGCACTACGCTCTTTTTCGGTAAGGTCGAGATCGGTAGGAGTAGGGACTGTCTAGGAACTGATTGTCTTTTTTACGCTAGTCCTTGTAAGGACAGGCCTCAAGGCTAGAACGGCATCTGCCATATAGAACAGAGTATTAACACCCGCTCTCCAAGGACGGTCACGACCGTCAGGCGAGAGGGTGAGGTTCACCACTCCCACCCGGGAGGGCGAGAGTAGATCACCGAAATCGCCTCAAAACTCCCACCCGCCCTTAGGCTCGCGAGCTGCGGGAAGGGCGAAGTAGTCACATAGTTATTTAAACACACAGTTACCGAACAGAGTTTTTATACGCGTTACCGCAATAATGCATCCTTTCGTGATTTTTTTTTGTATTATACGTCGGTGTGTTATTGTGTGCGTCCAGTGAATTATTTTTTTGAGTTCGTGAATACATTTTTATTTGAATTATTCCTATTTTTTTTTTTTGATTACTTTCGTGTTAATTGTTAAATTATTCTTCTTTTTTTTTTTTTTACGTCGCGTGTCAGTTATAAATGGGTTTGGTATTACCCCCGTCGGGATGAGTTACGCGGGAGACAGCCAGGTGGCCGGTGCGTCTCGAGAGCCTGATCCGCCACAGCGAGTCACGCGAGCGACTGCGTCCCAAACGCGTCCGTCGGTGGACTACCGTGAGAGCGATGGCGAAGCGGTCGAGCACGAGGAGCAGGCGGCACCCGCCACTAGCCGAACGCGGCGAACCGCCCGGGCGGTGAACGCGGAGCGTCCGCGAACACGGGGCGAACCTCCCGGAACGAGCAGTGGAGCGGCCACGGTGCAGCGTCGGCAGCCGACCCTGGAAGGCGAGGCGCTGACCGTGTGGTATCCTACTCGCTCGTGTATAACGTGCCCAATACCGGGGTGTGCAGGATCGTTCAGTGCCGCCGTTTGGACCCAGTCCAAGCAGTCCTTAATGAGGCATTTGAGGGAGATGCACGACCTCGTGGGGCTGACCACGTCGGTAGTGTGCGTGGGGTGCGAAATGACGATGGGTTTGAGGCCGGGTGCACACAAATGCGACCGGTCGATAGCCGCGGACGACGAAGCCGTAACCGTTAACCGTTATAAGTGCCGAGAGGAGGAGTGTGGTAGGTCGTTTCCCAGTAAACAGGGCCTGGCCAACCACACGCGGGACCACCGCAGGCGCGTGATCGCCGAGGCCGCAGCCGTCGTCATGCCCGTGCCGGCCACGAGGCAGCGAGGTGGTGTTCCTCGCACCGGTAGAGGCGGGGACCCGAGGATACCGGAGGTAACGGTTATGCCACCAGACACATCGCCACCCCAACGGATCGCTACACCCGTTCCGCCGCCGATCGAATCACCTCTGCGGGTTTTGAGGCCCGCTCAGACCCGGGTTCCGACGCCGGTCCGACCGGTGGAGGCGAGGCTTATCACACCCCCCGAGCCGCGGCGGGATTCACCACGGAACGAAGGGTATGTGGTGACATACGCGAGCCCCGAGCTGTGGACGCCCAGTCCGCTGGCTAGTACCCAGGCCTCCGACCAGGGGAACAACACGGAGGAAGTAGCGGATAGCGTAGTCGAAGACGAAGAGGGCTCCTCGGACATTGACCACCCTCTACGGCCTGATGACACTACCGCTATACACGCTCACCTCCCGTGTGTGCTCGAGATCTTGGCGGCGCCGACGACGGCCGACATGTGGGATAGGTTTACCGGTCTGGTGGAGCGGATTACCGCCGACGCCAAGGCGATGGCGAAGATACCAGACAGGCCCCCTAGGACCAACGTAAGAGCGCGGGTTAACGTGGAGGATGCCGAGGCTCTGCAAAAGCTATACCGGAGAAACAGGAGAAAGGCGGTTCGCGCTATTGTCGGGGGCGACGGCGTGCGATGTGAGATACCGGTCGAGGAGGTCGAGGCCCACTTTCGGGCGGTATGGGCTGGCACGGAGGGCGACCCTACTATATACCCATCGTACGACGACCGACGACCGATGCCCACCGGCGGGTTCACGGCCGTGGAAGTCGAAAAAAGGCTGAAAAAATTTGAAAATACCGCGCCCGGAGACGACGGGCTGACGTACCGGCACTGGCGCCTGATCGACCCGCGATGTGCACTGCTGACGGCAATATTTAATGTCTGTTTGAAGCACCGGAGGGTGCCTGGCCAATGGAAAAGTGCGACCACGGTGCTAATTCACAAGAAAGGCGACGTCGGGGAGCTAGGCAACTGGAGGCCCATCGCCTTGAGCCGGACGATTTACAAACTTTACGCAGGGTGCCTTGCTAAGAGGTTGACTGCGTGGCTGATGGAGAACCATGCCATAAGTCCGGGCCAGAAAGGCTTTCTGCCGGCCGACGGCGCCTTCGAGCATGTTCACACACTGCAGCGGACACTAGAGCGTGCACGCACCGGACGAGCCGACAAGTGCGTCGCATGGCTCGACGTGTCCAATGCGTTCGGGGCAGTACCGCACGGCTCGCTAGTCGAAGCGGTCAGGGCGTCTGGAGCGGGCGATGTACTGGCGGACATAATCGCCGATATATACCGGGGTGCGGTGTCATGTGTGAGCTCATCGGACGGTGTGACGGGTGAGATACCCGTGTTGTCCGGAATCAAGCAGGGTTGTCCGTTGAGCGGACTCTTGTTCATCATGGCTATCGACCCCGTCGTTCGAGAGCTACAAGGCCAAAGTGAGGAACACAGAGTCCTCGCGTTTGCCGATGATCTCTGTATAATTGGTGACAGCCCGCCGGAACTGCAGGCGGCTGTACGGACGGCCGAAGAACAGCTGGGCCGGATTGCATTAAGAGTGAATGCTGCGAAGTGCGCCTCGTTGCACCTATCGGGTATCACTCCGGTTGGTGCCCGTGAGACGGTCTTTACGGTAGCCGGGGGCCAGATGCGGACGCTCAGCGAGGGAGATGCTGCGGTCTTTCTGGGGGTCCAGGTCGGCTTCAATATCGTGCCACCGATGTCGACGTTGGCCGATATTACCGACCTGGGCCTTAGGATAGTGCGCAGCAAACTTGCACCATGGCAGCGGCTCGACGCCCTAAAGACATTCTTTTATCCGGCGGCCACTTTTTCCCAAAGGTTCAGCGAGTTTAAAAAGACAGATTGGGAGACGGTAGACCGAATAATGCGGCCGGAAATCAAATCCACGCTCGGGTTACCGCAGGAGGCAAGTAATGAGTATCTGTACGGCTCGGCAGCCGGTGGAGCGTGTGCGATCCGTATGTTGGCCGAGGATGCTGACATAGCTGCGGTCGACAGCGCGTTTAAACTCCTCACCTCGCCGGATCATCGCGTGTTAGCGGACGCGTGGACCCACCTCAAGGAGGTGGTCAGCACTAAGGCGGGTAGACCCGCGGACGTTCCGCTGGCGGGCGACTTCCTCTCGGGAAGTATTGATGGTGACTTGGCGTCGGCGCGGTCACGGACCGGCGTGAAATCGGTGTGGTCGAATGCTCGTAATGCTTCTCGGCGAATAAATGTTACATGGAACCCGGAGGGCGACGCCGTTACGATCCGCAGGAGAGGAGCGACAATGCGGCCGAAACAACGCCACGAGGTTATGAAAACGTTGCGAGAAGAGTTGCGTATGGAACGGAGCGAGTCGCTCCGCGCTAAGCCCGACCAAGGTCGGGCGATGGAGTGTGTTGCGGCGCACCGAGCGTCATCACACTTCATACGCGCGGGCGACTACACCAGGTTCGCCGACTGGCGCTTCATTCACCGGGCACGGCTCAATCTCGTGGCGCTGAACGGGTCAGCGTCGTGGCGGTCTGGCGACCGCAGTTGTCGGCGATGTGGGTATATTACTGAAAGCCTAGCCCACGTCGTTGACCACTGCTGGCGCTATGCCGCCATGTACATGGCCCGCCACAATGCGGTTGTAGCGAGAATTAAGAAGGCGGCGGAACCCAAATTCGAAATTCTGAGCGAGAACCAGGTGATCGGGAGCGGAGGACTGCGGCCCGACCTGGTGCTCAGGCGTGACGGTCGGGTTTATATCGTCGACGTGACGATCCCGGCCGAAAACCGCGTTGCATCGTTCAAAACAGCCGCCGACGGGAAACGTGCGAAATATGAAGATTTACGGGCCGAGTTGGCCGAGGCTAATGCAGGAGCAGTGGTGTACCCAGTGGTAGTGGGTGCACTCGGGTCTTGGGACCCGAGCAACGATCTGCTCCTGCAGAAGCTGTGTGCGCGGTCATACGCTTCGCTGTTGCGAAAACTGTGCGTTAGTGAGGTGATTGGATACACTCGAGATATATACATCGAGCACCTCACTGACGTACGGCAGCGGCAGCTGTAGGCCGGCACACAATGTTGCCTATTTTACCTTCTTTTTTATACTGTGATTTCTACTTATTATTATTCTTATTTTTTTTTTTTTTTTTTGTTTTTGTTTTCTATGTCATTTTTATGTAGAATGTTTAAAATTTATTATGTTATATGTGGAAAATTAGATAAGTATGTAATCATGAACCAATGTATAAAATTTCAAATAAAAACTCTGTTCTTATCAGCTTAACGCCACGCTAAGCGCGAGCGTTGAGTCTGATTTTTGTTTTTGAACAGGCGGCGCAATAGCCGCACTACGCTCTTTTTCGGTAAGGTCGAGATCGGTAGGAGTAGGGACTGTTTAGGAACTGATTGTCTTTTTTACGCTAGTCCTTGTAAGGACAGGCCTCAAGGCTAGAACGGCATCTGCCATATAGAACAGAGTATTAACACCCGCTCTCCAAGGACGGTCACGACCGTCAGGCGAGAGGGTGAGGTTCACCACTCCCACCCGGGAGGGCGAGAGTAGAACACCGAAATCGCCTCAAAACTCCCACCCGCCCTTAGGCTCGCGAGCTGCGGGAAGGGCGAAGTAGTCACATAGACATTTAAATACACAGTTACCGAACAGAGTTTTTATACGCGTTACCGCAATAGTGCACCCTTTCGTGTTTTATATATTTTACGTCGGTGTGTTATCGTGTGCGTCCAGTGAATTATTTTTGTTTGAGTTCGTGAATACATTTTTATTTGAATTATTCCTATTTTTTATTTTTTTTTTTTTACTTTTGTGTTAATCCGTTAATCCGTTAATTATTCTTCTTTTTTTTACGTTGCGTGTCAATTATAAATGGGTTTGGTATTACCCCTGTCGGGATGAGTTACGCGGGAGACAGCCAGGTGGCCGGTGCGTCTCGAGAGCCTGATCCGCCACAGCGAGTCACGCGAGCGACTGCGTCCCAAACGCGTCCGTCGGTGGACTACCGTGAGAGCGATGGCGAAGCGGTCGAGCACGAGGAGCAGGCGGCACCCGCCACTAGCCGAACGCGGCGAACCGCCCGGGCGGTGAACGCGGAGCGTCCGCGAACACGGGGCGAACCTCCCGGAACGAGCAGTGGAGCGGTCACGGTGCAGCGTCGGCAGCCGACCCTGGAAGGCGAGGCGCTGACCGTGTGGTATCCTACTCGCTCGTGTATAACGTGCCCAATACCGGGGTGTGCAGGATCGTTCAGTGCCGCCGTTTGGACCCAGTCCAAGCAGTCCTTAATGAGGCATTTGAGGGAGATGCACGACCTCGTGGGGCTGACTACGTCGGTAGTGTGCGTGGGGTGCGAAATGACGATGGGTTTGAGGCCGGGTGCACACAAATGCGACCGGTCGATAGCCGCGGACGACGAAGCCGTAACCGTTAACCGTTATAAGTGCCGAGAGGAGGAGTGTGGTAGGTCGTTTCCCAGTAAACAGGGCCTGGCCAACCACACGCGGGACCACCGCAGGCGCGTGATCGCCGAGGCCGCAGCCGTCGTCATGCCCGTGCCGGCCACGAGGCAGCGAGGCGGTGTTCCTCGCACCGGCAGAGGCGGGGACCCGAGGATACCGGAAGTAATGGTTATACCACCGGACGCATCGCCACCCCAACGGATCGCGACACCCGTTCCGCCGCCGATCGAACCACCTCCGCGGGTTTTGAGGCCTGCTCAGACCCGGGTTCCGACGCCGGTCCGACCGGTGGAGGCGAGGCTTATCGCACCCCCCGAGCCGCGGCGGGATTCACCACGGAACGAAGGGTATGTGGTGACATACGCGAGCCCCGAGCTGTGGACGCCCAGTCCGCTGGCTAGTACCCAGGCCTCCGACCAGGGGAACAACACGGAGGAAGTAGCGGATAGCGTAGTCGAAGACGAAGAGGGCTCCTCGGACATTGACCACCCTCTACGGCCTGATGACACTACCGCTATACACGCTCACCTCCCGTGTGTGCTCGAGATCTTGGCGGCGCCGACGACGGCCGACACGTGGGATAGGTTTACCGGTCTGGTGGAGCGGATTACCGCCGACGCCAAGGCGATGGCGAAGATACCAGACAGGCCCCCTAGGACCAACGTAAGAGCGCGGGTTAACGTGGAGGATGCCGAGGCTCTGCAAAAGCTATACCGGAGAAACAGGAGAAAGGCGGTTCGCGCTATTGTCGGGGGCGACGGCGTGCGATGTGAGATACCGGTCGAGGAGGTCGAGGCCCACTTTCGGGCGGTATGGGCTGGCACGGAGAGCGACCCTACTATATACCCATCGTACGACGACCGACGACCGATGCCCACCGGCGGGTTCACGGCCGTGGAAGTCGAAAAAAGGCTGAAAAAATTTGAAAATACCGCGCCCGGAGACGACGGGCTGACGTACCGGCACTGGCGCCTGATCGACCCGCGATGTGCACTGCTGACGGCAATATTTAGTGTCTGTTTGAAGCACCGGAGGGTGCCTGGCCAATGGAAAAGTGCGACCACGGTGCTAATTCACAAGAAAGGCGACGTCGGGGAGCTAGGCAACTGGAGGCCCATCGCCTTGAGCCGGACGATTTACAAACTTTACGCAGGGTGCCTTGCTAAGAGGTTGACTGCGTGGCTGATGGAGAACCATGCCATAAGTCCGGGCCAGAAAGGCTTTCTGCCGGCCGACGGCGCCTTCGAGCATGTTCACACACTGCAGCGGACACTAGAGCGTGCACGCACCGGACGGGCCGACAAGTGCGTCGCATGGCTCGACGTGTCCAATGCGTTCGGGGCAGTACCGCACGGCTCGCTAGTCGAAGCGGTCAGGGCGTCTGGAGCGGGCGATGTACTGGCGGACATAATCGCCGATATATACCGGGGTGCGGTGTCATGTGTGAGCTCATCGGACGGTGTGACGGGTGAGATACCCGTGTTGTCCGGAATCAAGCAGGGTTGTCCGCTGAGCGGACTCTTGTTCATCATGGCTATCGACCCCGTCGTTCGAGAGCTACAAGGCCAAAGTGAGGAACACAGAGTCCTCGCGTTTGCCGATGATCTCTGTATAATTGGTGACAGCCCGCCGGAACTGCAGGCGGCTGTACGGACGGCCGAAGAACAGCTGGGCCGGATTGCATTAAAAGTGAATGCTGCGAAATGCGCATCGTTGCACCTATCGGGTATCACTCCGGTTGGTGCCCGTGAGACGGTCTTTACGGTAGCCGGGGGCCAGATGCGGACGCTCAGCGAGGGAGATGCTGCGGTCTTTCTGGGGGTCCAGGTCGGCTTCAATATCGTGCCACCGATGTCCACGTTGGCCGATATTACCGACCTGGGCCTTAGGATAGTGCGCAGCAAACTTGCACCATGGCAGCGGCTCGACGCCCTAAAGACATTCTTTTATCCGGCGGCCACTTTTTCCCAAAGGTTCAGCGAGTTTAAAAAGACAGATTGGGAGACGGTAGACCGAATAATGCGGCCGGAAATCAAATCCACGCTCGGGTTACCGCAGGAGGCAAGTAATGAGTATCTGTACGGCTCGGCAGCCGGTGGAGCGTGTGCGATCCGTATGTTGGCCGAGGATGCTGACATAGCTGCGGTCGACAGCGCGTTTAAACTCCTCACCTCGCCGGATCGTCGCGTGTTAGCGGACGCGTGGACCCACCTCAAGGAGGTGGTCAGCAGTAAGGCGGGTAGACCCGCGGACGTTCCGCTGGCGGGCGACTTCCTCTCGGGAAGTATGGATGGTGACTTGGCGTCGGCGCGGTCACGGACCGGCGTGAAATCGGTGTGGTCGAATGCTCGTAATGCTTCTCGGCGAATAAATGTTACATGGAACCCGGAGGGCGACGCCGTTACGATCCGCAGGAGAGGAGCGACAATGCGGCCGAAACAACGCCACGAGGTTATGAAAACGTTGCGAGAAGAGTTGCGTATGGAACGGAGCGAGTCGCTCCGCGCTAAGCCCGACCAAGGTCGGGCGATGGAGTGTGTTGCGGCGCACCGAGCGTCATCACACTTCATACGCGCGGGCGACTACACCAGGTTCGCCGACTGGCGCTTCATTCACCGGGCACGGCTCAATCTCGTGGCGCTGAACGGGTCAGCGTCGTGGCGGTCTGGCGACCGCAGTTGTCGGCGATGTGGGTATATTACTGAAAGCCTAGCCCACGTCGTTGACCACTGCTGGCGCTATGCCGCCATGTACATGGCCCGCCACAATGCGGTTGTAGCGAGAATTAAGAAGGCGGCGGAACCCAAATTCGAAATTCTGAGCGAGAACCAGGTGATCGGGAGCGGAGGACTGCGGCCCGACCTGGTGCTCAGGCGTGACGGTCGGGTTTATATCGTCGACGTGACGATCCCGGCCGAAAACCGCGTTGCATCGTTCAAAACAGCCGCCGACGGGAAACGTGCGAAATATGAAGATTTACGGGCCGAGTTGGCCGAGGCTAATGCAGGAGCAGTGGTGTACCCAGTGGTAGTGGGTGCACTCGGGTCTTGGGACCCGAGCAACGATCTGCTCCTGCAGAAGCTGTGTGCGCGGTCATACGCTTCGCTGTTGCGAAAACTGTGCGTTAGTGAGGTGATTGGATACACTCGAGATATATACATCGAGCACCTCACTGACGTACGGCAGCGGCAGCTGTAGGCCGGCACACAATGTTGCCTATTTTACCTTCTTTTTTATACTGTGATTTCTACTTATTATTATTCTTATTTTTTTTGTTTTCTATGTCATTTTTATGTAGAATGTTTAAAATTGATTATGTTATATGTGGAAAATTAGATAAGTATGTAATCATGAACCAATGTATAAAATTTCAAATAAAAACTCTGTTCTTATCAGCTTAACATCTGATACACCTCACATCGTGGGGTTCAAATGTTAAACTAATTTTTTCAAATTGGTGGAGAATTTGGGGCTTGCTCCTACTCCACCGCGGGTTGACCCGGTATTGCAGTACCACCGGGAACGGCCCAAATAAACGTCTTAAAAGCACATTTAAATAATACTAAATTTGTTTGACTTAATTTTTGAAAA